TGGGTTTGTCAAGTTCAGATGTCACAAAACCTTACCAAAATGTCTCTACGAAAATCTTTACAGATTCTGAAGAGAAATGTCTTGTGGATTATTGTGTAGCATCATCCAAAATGGGATTTGGCCTTAGCCGTATTAAACTGAGACAACTTGCTTATGAATATGCTATAAAACTTGGAAAAACACAATTATATGCTGAGAAGGACATATGCGTCATGTGTGGTGAGGCTGGCCGAGACAACGAAATGTGGTTTCGTTGCAGAAATTGTGCCAAGTGGGCTCACGAGCTCTGCACGAGTGTTTCTAGTGCAGTTGATTACATTTGCGAATTTTGCATACATGAATAATCTTATTATTTCAATTTTTGTTTCAATTAAAAATACTTCAAATGTGTTTATTTCCATGAATTTGTTGCTATTCTTTAATGGTCCATTTGGTACTTTACCCGGTCCATCCAGTACACCGCTATTGTACCGAATGGACCACCAAAAAAATTGGAACAACCCACCTTAAAAATTAAATTATAAAAAAATTACGTTATTTGGAAATATTAAAAAAATACCGTCAACTGTGCAAGATAATGACAAATCAAGATCAGTTATTAAAATAGCGATAGCTGATTTTGTTGAGCAAAGAAAAAATATTTAGTGAGCGACAAAAAAAAGCGGTCCATTCGGCCCCCGTCTCCCCTATGTGACTCACTGTCTTTAAATTGGTATTTTTTGATCATATTTTTTAATCTAAGTATAAATCTGAATTAACTAATAATAAGCGTCATGTATAATACTTTTTAAGCATTATTCTTTATACAGTAATACTATAACATCGCATCTATAAACTTTTTATAAAAAAAAATCTTTCATCATTTCTGCTTAACTGTATCATGGTTTATTTTTGATGAACATTTAATTCTATTACTTTACATTTTACTAAACTTATTTCTGAATCTTTTTATTTACTCCTATTACACTCTATGAACTTAACTAAGATCAATAATTTTGTCACCTACAGTTTGCCCCCTAGATCTACTTCCTAGTAATTTTTTTGAAATTTTTTTTGACATCTTAGATTTTTATTTTTAAACTCGTTAATTTATCTCTCTTTCTCAAAATATTCAACTTATTTATAAAAAAGTTATAACAAAAAGAAATTTATTGTTGTACCTATCCTCAAAAATTAATCTTCTTTAAAAGTTCTTCATTTTTATCTAACTATAGACTATCTCAAAAATAATAGAAAAGTTTGTTTGAAATTTAAACTCCTTGCAACCTATCTCTCAATCTAGCTTCAGACCAATTCACAACACTGAAGCTAAAAACCTGACGGCAGCCTCTCATACGACGACTCAAGACAGAAAGCGAAGTGTCACACGATAGTATTTTTGAATCACCGGCAAAATCCTAGGACAGTGCCTACATTGCAATTAAAAACACATTATAAATGCTGGAGATAAGTATGAAAAAGAGTGCACATAAACAACGACCAATGAGATTATTATGAGGTTATTCATTTAGTTAATAAAGTTGACCAAAAAAAAATTGTCAAATGAGGAGATAAGTATGAAAAAGAGTGAACATAAACAACGACCAATGAGATTGTGAACACAATGTCAAAACGTAATAAAAGAAACTTTTAAAAATACAAAACTCTCTAATTTTATTATTTTAAATTATTTATATTAAAATAATAAAATGAAATAAATAATTTTTGTCTTGTCGTCGACACACTAAGGCCCTCAAGGCTTTTCATGTTCGCTGTATTCGCAGCTTTCTTGGGATAAGATGGTGGCACAAAAGACCCCTCACGAACATGTTCACCGGCTGTGTATGAAAAATTTTAAAAAACGTAAAACTTAAAAAATTTGAACGATAGTTATTAAGGTGGCAGCAACAGCGTAAAAATTGTGTGGCGCGAAATTAATTCAACTTTTTATTATTTTTCCTTAGAATTTCATATTCCTTTTTCGAATTTATTTGTATATATTTTTACTAATATTAAAACTATAATTAGGCCTTGTTCGCCAAACAAAAAGTCGTCAGCAGACATTATGAACAAAAAAGGAACCGCAAATAAAATTCTCTCCCCCCCGGGTCGAAAAAAATTACTATTTAAGTACATATGCGTCCTTCAAAGGTAAAATAGTTCTCAATGCGGCTCTCACAGCAAAATGTTTACCCACCCCTAAAATTGATCTATCTGCAGTAATTTTTATAAAGTGTTTGTTAATAGAAATAAAGTTTCAATTTTGAACAGATTTAATTTTGTCGATAAAAATTAACTAAGACAAATTGAAAAATTTGAATATAACACTAATAATTGTCATTCCTTTGTTCTTCATTGGCATCGAGTTGGTAGTGATGTTATCATTCTTTGTTGGATGTTTATTTGGGGTTTATTAGGACAGCTTCTGCCATTTTTAGATGTATTGAGTTGGTGTTTTGATAAATTATTTTTGTGTTGCTGTCGAGAATTTGGCGGGTTATTGGAACTACATGTGTTGATTGCAAGTGAGATTTTATGGCTTCTCTTTGTGTATGCCTTAATACTAACTTCAATAACAATGAAGAACAAAGAAGAATGAAGAACAATTATTAGCGTTTAGCCGCATTGAGAACTATTTTACCTTTGAAGGACGTACTTAAATAGTAAGACGTCTTGATATTGAAATGGTCGTAATACCAACATACCATATATATAGAATATACCATATACTCTATATATATATGATATATATATTTCATTTCAAATTTTCAAATGTGCACGCCAGATGAATTGCGTAAAATAGTTTGTGACTCCCCTGGCAGTTCATGTTCTCTTGATCTGATTCCAACATACATATTTAAAAAATTTATAGATCTTTTTTGCCATTTTTGACATTTTTTGTCAACCAATGTTTATCAACTAGCAGTTTTTCCAACCCTTTGAAACATGCTATTGTAACCCCACTTCTAAAAAAATCAAATTTGGACGACAACGTTTTATCAAATTACCGTCCTATCTCTAATCTTTCATTCATTTCTAAAGTCATTGAACGAGTTGTTATCAAACAATTGTTACAGCATTTAAACAAAAACAATTTTTTGCCAAAGAATCAATCCGGCTATCGTCAATATTTTTCCACAGAAACTGCACTCATTGATATTTTCTCCCAACTGTTCTCTTCAGTTGACAGTCAATGCGTTTCTTTTTTAGCATTACTTGATATGAGTGCTGCATTTGATTGTGTCGATCATACTCGTCTCATGTATAAACTCTCCACAAATATTTTTCTCTCTGATTCAGTCTTATCGTGATTCGCTTCCTATCTTTTAGGCCGCACCCAGCAGGTTTCTTACAACAACACCCTCTCTGACATAAACAAGCTATCATTTGGTGTCCCCCAGGGATCTGTGTTGGGACCTCTGTTGTTTCTTATGTACACTGCTGATGTTTTTGATATCATTCAAAAATATGAGTTCAGCTCCCACGCCTTTGCTGATGATATTCAGTTATTGGTTTCTTGTCCTGTTGATTCGATTGATGCTTCTCTGAATGAATTGACTGACTGTCTCATCGAAATTGGATCTTGGATGAGTATGAATCAGTTAAAGTTAAATCAATCTAAAACACAAATATTACCGGTTGGTTCTTGGCAGCAGCTGTCGAAGGTCAAAATTTCATCGATCAGTGTCGGCAATGACATCATTGAATTTTCCACATCTGTCCGTAGTCTTGGAGTTATTATTGACTCAAACTTAAAGATGGATTTACATATTAATAATTTAGTGAGGGTCTGCTCCAACCAACTCCGTTTATTACGCAATGTCAAAAAATCACTAAACACGTCTGTTCTTCAAAGCTTGGTTTCCTCTTTCGTCTTTTCCAGACTAGACTACTGCAATGGCCTTTTTTATGGTGTCACCAAAAGGTCTTTTTCAAAACTTCAGTCAATACAGAATCGTGCGGTCAAGCTGGTTTTGGGTGGTTCGTGGTTCGATCATGTTACGCCTATTTTGAATAGGTTGCACTGGTTGAGGGTTGAAAAACGTGTTTCCTTCAAGTTGGCAGTTTTGATGTTTAAATGTGTCAATAATACAGCACCTCCCTACCTCATCGATAGATTGGAATCATACAAATCTCATTTTTCAAAATATTCCTTCCGATCAACCGAGCGCAATTTATTTTTTATCTCGACCACAAAGTTGGTGACGGGTTCCCGCAACTTTGCGGTTCTTGGCCCGATTGTTTGGAATGGTTTACCTCCATACTTACGTGACCCTAACCTATCATATTTACAATTTCGAAGTCAACTTAAAACTTATTTATTTGCACAATGAATGTCCGTCTTATTTGTCTATAATTTAGTAGCGCTTTTGAGATTCAACAATAAAAAAGCGCTGTATATAAATTTCCGTAATAATAATAATAATACATATATTAGATATACTCTATATGAATTATCAACTTGGAAGACAAAAAACTGTGTATGAAAGTGTCAAGGAAAGAAAGTATCTTTGGGCACATCTGCAGAATGACAGACGACAGACTGATCAAAAAAGTACTGATGAGAAAGAGGGACTGGAAGAAAAAAGTTGGAAGACCTGTGAGGAAGTGGATGGATGATATCACGGAATGGACGGGGGTTGGAACATTGGGCTCAATGAAGATGGCAAGGGAAAGAAAAAGATTTTGGAGAGATAGAAGAATACCATCTTCCTCAATGGTCCCTCAAGGGATTACAGAGGATCATTGAATGAAATGAATGAATGAAATATATGAATTATACTCTATATATATGTAATATACGAATGTTGTTGACGCGCACAGTTTTCAACAGGGCATTTAAATTTATATAGGTATTACATGATTATGCTTCAAAAAAGAATCGTCTTTAGGAGTGCAGTTGTTTTTTAAGACCAATTGCGATGTCTTACAATTATTTTAGTATATCCTGAGTTTTATTTTATTAGTATCATTGCTTGGAGTAATAATATGAAACTCAGAACATTTTCATTCACCAGACTCATTTTCAAAATGTTTTTTCAAAAGTAAATAAACAATTATTTACAGTTTCCTTTCCAAAATAAAATATCCTATAATCTGTAATGTGCTTTTAAGTCATTCTCATAAAAAATCGTTTTATCAACATTTTATCAGACATCCTACAGCGTTTATCACTTAGAAGTTGCCTTGCCACACTGAAAAGACGCTGAATTGCGGCCGAGCTAGGCAATGTTGAGTCTAGTTTTATGAATGCTGCACACACGTCTGGTTAGAAAAACAAACTTTCATTATTTATAGATGGATTAGTCAAGCAAGTTTTGAAATGATCTGTCAACATAATATTTTAAGAATTTCAATTACTTTCCATGTAATAGTGCAAATTGTTACTGTCGTCTTTGCCCTGAGTAGACCCACAACCATTTCTGTCACTGCTTTGGCGAATTTTTTGGGGAAATAAATTAAGATGCAGATAATATCAATTTGTTTCAATGTTTTTGTTAGAGCAGCTGAATTCTGTGCTTTAAGATATAAACTGGGAGATGATGTTCTAATAGATAAGGGTTAAATTTTTTTGGTTTTAGTTCAACATTTCTATTTAATATATGTATGTATACGTACGTAAATATATTTAAACTGTTACTATAATTACAGTAGGATTTTTTTTAGAATTTTAAATTCACATAAAAAATTAGCTGTGCTACACAAATAACATTTACGCACAAGAGTTTCGGAGCAACATGCAATCTGTACAAATTAGCATTGTACCGGATTTGACTTTTTCCAAATCGGCCGGAGCCGAATTTAACCAGATTTGCAAACACAAATCCGGCGGGAGCCAGATTTATGCATCAATTGCATTTTATTTCGAGCATGCCTTTTCAAAAGTAGATTCAATTAATTAAAATAAAATTAATAAACTTCAGCCTTTAACCAGCATGTTGTTGCAAATCACCCAAATGGGCAAGATGCATTTTTTTTTATGAAAGTGTTTTATTTCTGAAAATATACCGTTTGAAAAAGTCATTTGGTTTGATGCTAGTTAGTTAATTAATAACGTTTAATTTTTTCAAACAGGGAAATTATTTAATTAATCTAACTTTTGTCAAAACATTTATTGTCCTGGTCGTTATTAAAAGTTATTTTTGGTGATGTCAAATCATTTAGTCGTATAACATTCCCAAGTCAGCCTTCGTTTGACGGTTTAATTTTCATCACAACATTTTTTAACGAATAATATTCGGATTCGAAAATGGTGTACCAGGAAATACCGTCTGGCGTTTGCATCTCTGACATCATCGAATTATTTTCTATATGATATATACCGTTTAGATTACTGAAGGAGCAGCTTTGAAACCACCATCCACTTTTCTTCTCGGATGCACAGTTTTTCATATCGTGGTCGTTGTCGAAGTCGCTTGTGCTGAAATACATTTGGTCATTGTAACTCATCGAGTCGCCTGAAGAAATACGTTTAAAAGATTTGTAAATAAATTGTTTTAACAAAACTATGGCTTATTTAAAATTTTATAAAGTTTCTTATCACAAGCGTACCAAATTAATATCCATGAATCAAGCGATTGTTCGTTTGGAGACATGTAACGGTTTTTTAATGTAAGGTTTTGAAAAAGGTAAAAAGGTTTTTAATAACATTTCGGCACGAAACGAAAAAACGAAACTGATTCTAATCCATAAAACGACTGACACACACATACACCACACACACACACACACACACACACACACACACACACACACACACACACACAGAGAGAGAAAGGGGCATGAGCAGCTAGACGAGTAGCGGAGTTAAAAGTTTAAAAGTTAGAGTCTAGAATCAGGCAAATCATAGTAGAGCCAGCTACAATAATCAAACCTAGATAAAACTAAAGAAGTAACAAGAAGGAGAAGAGTAGGATCGTCAAGAAAAGGTAAAAGTTTTTTTATTCTACGTAGATGAAAGTAAGAGCTTCAAGCAACACTAAGGGCACGAGCAGCCGAATTAAAAAGCTTTACTTAGAGCCACAACAAAAAGCAGTAAATATGCTACCAATCTTAAACTTTGATATTCCATTGTTTTACGATGCTTTTACAATTTTTTACAAAATTTAATCATCATTCAACAGCTTCTAATTTTTTTAATTCTGCTAAAGTGTTTAAGCTTTTTCATTTTTTCCTCATTTACAATCCCAGTGTAGCTTGGATTGATATAAAATCATAAAAATTTTATATTCAATCATTTTGACTAATATATAAGCTGTGGAAATGTTATTCCTTTTAGCGCTAGTTTGCTTACTTTGAAATTTTCAACTATGAAATTTGCATCTTGGCTACTTAGCAAAAATGCTATATTTTTTTTACTGCCACAAGCAGAAAGCAGTGTGCAACAAAATTGATTTGTTATTGTTCAGCATATTTAAAAAAAACGATTTAATGTATATTTTACTAAGCAGTGGCATTTAAATAAAAAATTTTTTAGGAGTTGGAAATTGGAAATTTTTTCCAGAGTCGGAGTCAGAAAATTTCCAATCAATGAGTCAAGGTCGAACATATTGTTATTGAACTCGGACACCTTGTGCTATGACATCAACTTGTGCGTAACTAATTTCGAGATTTGGCCAGTTGATTAAAAACTGGTAACAAATGAGAAATTGAATTCGAGTGGTCGATGAACATTTATGAATAATAATATTTAGATGTTTGTAATACATTTAATATTTTAAGTTTTAATTGTAATTGGTCAGCACTGTCAATTATTCTATGATAATAAATAAATCAATTTGCAGTTGTTACGCGTTTGACAGAGTTTGATTTACCGAATAAAAAAAAACTTGTGTCTATAAAGTCAACTCACAAGATGCGCTGTACAAATTTGGCATACAATGCAATGCAACATCAATTGAAAAAAGAACAAAATTTATATAATTTATTTGATAATTTTTTTTTATTAGTCTTTATTATCGCAGCTCTGACATACGCAGAACCAATTACAATGTTACAGATATATTATCTATATATCTTTATTATGTTCTTCATATCTTCAACCAATGATATGAAGCAGCCATCTTTCGCTACAAAGGCTGTTTTATCCTTTTTACACGACGTACACATGTATTTTATGTGCACGCGCAAGCACCGCATCCTATACGCTGAGTATATGATAGCCATTGAGATGTTTGACTCAGCGCGCATTTGAACCACTGAGTCACCTCGCCGGCCAACATGCGACAACATATGTCGTCTACCCATTTACAAGCCTCGAAGTCGGCTACCCGGATGAACCTGTAGAAACTGTAGAATTCGAACCCGGGTCGTGGAAATGGTAGACAGATACGCTAACCCCTCGGCCACGAGACCCCTATTTGTAATTGAATTGCAATAAATCATTCAAACGCTTGGTTAATTGGGAATGAATACAATACTACTCACACTACTCACCTGATGTACCTTTATAATCTCTTACAGTAATTTTGTATTTGTTGGATGAGGAATCGAGTTGAAAATATCCGTAATTAGCAAACCAAATGTTGTTATCAAAGTCCTTCATTTCAATGTACATTTCATATTTTCTTCGTCTAGTGATCAAATGAATATTTTCGTTGCCAAGCCAAAATTCTCCAAACAAGTTCCCAAACCCCTGTTTGTAGTCTTTCCACTGAAAAATGTTTTGCCTTTTGTTTCATTATAATTTTATTATCTATGAAAAATCAAAAAAAGCTCAACTGATTATGCACCATACAAACGTACGAGTGGGCGCAATTTTGCTGGGGTTTCATCCCAGTTGATGACTGTAAAGTTGTATTAAACAAATTGAGCAGTTATAGCCTACTTGAACTTATAGTTGACAGCGAAACATTTATATCAACCTTATTTGATGACCCACAATCAATATACATCTGCTAAGCTGTATATAATATAATGAACGGTTGACGCCAACACTCTCGTTCCGACGATACTTATAATGAGAAAAATACGAAAGGTTAGTTCCAACCGGTATCTGATTTATTAATCGAATTTATTTGAAAAAATTAATATGGAATTTTAGAACAGGACTTTAATTCAAGCACTTGAACTTGAAGTTGATCTAAAAATTTGTGTCATTATATTACCAATCACCCACAATCAATATTCATCTAATTTTCGTTTCCAAACTTAGTTTATTATGGAAAGAATACGACTGGGCAACACCAGTCTAAACTTTTGTGAAAATAGATTTTGTTATTTATATATATATATATAATTTTATCAACTTTCCCCATTGAATCTGTATTTGGGCTGGGCGAGCGACGCAACGTGTAACGATTAAGATCAAGATGCAAGAGTCGAATGAAAAATATCCGACTCCGGTCTCTCAAAAAATTCCGACTCAAATTCTTGACTCAAGCCCAGGTCTTGGGTCTAAAAAAAATTTTAAACTTTTGCCTCATAATTTTACTTGAATATTACTGTTAAATAAAAAATACTTTAAAATGTACTTAAAATCAGTCAATGTAATTGTTTTCTTAATAAATTACTTTATCTTTATGTTTTAAAACACACTAAAAAAATTATGTAATTTATTACCATTTTTATCTCATTTTATGTGTTATAGGTGATTGCATAGGGCCTATCGCTCACCATATCTTCGTGAAAACATGATCTTAGAAAATATTTTGAAAGTAAAAAAAAGTTTTCATATTTTTAACACTTTCCGGAGTCTGATGAAAAATATCCGACTTCAACCTATCAAAAATCTCCAAACGACTCTGACACTGGTTAAGATGCCTGAAATTGCTGCATATCCGTCCGAATGCACAGAAATTCCCGCCTGTCACATGCAAGCGATATGCGTGGAGCGTGGATCTACGTGCATTTGCATACACTGTCTGTTTTTAATATCGATACCTCTAGTAATTACTATAAGAAAGAATTGTAAGAAACTTTACCTTTCGGTTAAAATTTGTGGATCCATCAATCCTTCGTTGAATAACCGTCCATCCATTTTCTCTGTCAATTTCACAAAAAACTTCTAAAAGTGCGTTTTTTCCAATTGTTATTTTATAGACACTTGATGTAGTGAATCCGTTAGATCTTACTTCACTGCAATCTACATTTTATTATCAATAAAAATAAAATGAGCATTCATTTAACAATTTCACGAGTGTTTTTATATATTTTTTGTTATTGATTTACCACATTTACAGTCAAGATATGTATACAAAATTCTTCAGCAATTCTATTATGACCATTTTTTACACTTTCCTATCTAAATTAAATTTAAATGATTATTCCGTCCGATGAAAATTTGTACAACACCGCAAACTCCTGCTTTTTAATCGCTAGCCCTCATTTTAACGAGCTGTTATAATTATACCTTAATTAAAAACATTTAATCTAACAAATGAAACTTTTTCTTTCATAGCAAGTTTTTTAAGAAATTTTAATTATGAACATACAAACATACATACAATACAAACAAACATTTTATCGAGCCGTTATAATTATACCTGGTAAATGCCTTGTTTTCTGATGAACTTTTGCATATTCTGGAGATCATTACAGTTTTAAGTTCAAATATTTTGTTGACTGGCCATTTTAACATTCATGTCAAAAAATTTAATGATCCTCATACCATTAGTTTTCTGGAAAGTTTTGAACGGTTCCACTTAATAAACCTCATAAACAAGCCGGATTTGGTTGCTAGTTCAATCAATTTTCGTGTTTCAAATAGTAAAATATTTCCCAGCGGCGTTTATTCAGATCATAATTTGATTCATATCAGTATCCCAATGGTCTGAGAGTGTCATCAAAATTCGTAGATTGACCAGGTTATGGAGTCAAATTAATCAAGAATCAATGTAAGTTGTCCATGCATATTTTGAGTTTTCTACTTTCTAGGCCATGCCAGAGTATGGACATAGAGCACGAATTTGAACTTTTCAATGAGGAGCTAAAGAAAATTGCTGATAAAATTGCACATCATCGTGTTGTTGAACATAGAACATTGAACATACTGCTTCTTGGTTTGACAATGAATGCTGCTAAAAGATATTGCCGAAGTAAAGAAAGAAAGTATAGACGTTGTTCATCGCAAGCAAGTTACAATGGATAGGTCAATGCATTAAGAGATAAAACCAAGCTTTTCTCAAAGAAACGTATTTGCTATTTTTTTTTGTCATTTATATTTAAAATTTAATAAAACTACGAATTTAAAAGATAAGATATTTAAAACGTTACTAAAAAGATTTCAAATTTAATAGAGCATTCAACAACTACAATAATTACCATAACCAAAAAAGAAAAATTTTTTAGAAAATATTTGAAAATTGTCAAAATAAGCCGTAGTTTAGTTGAGCCGCCAGAACTGAAAAAGAAATGGAAATGACGACATCGATGTAACTTAATTTGTATATTTTGGACATATGTAAAAACGACCAAATTCGAAAGGCCGAAATTTATATGATTTTGTAAAGAAGATGCTGTCGCATCTACACCAAATTCGAGTAGCAGTCGCACAAATTTTATAAGACAGCGTCAAGTCTTGGTGCAATTTTGATGTTAAACCGGCTGTTGGATTTAGCTGCCTGCACTTAACATGTTTATGTTTAGTATCTAACATATTTTCTCATTCTTTTTAGCAATGTCAGATCAAAAATACGTTTGAATTTTTTTTACTTTTCACTATTCAATAACAATTTTGTTTTTATAGTTTCATTTCCATTGTTTTACAAATTTCACAAAAAGATTCGAGTTAGTTATGCACGAAAGTTTGTGTACAACTCTAGAAAATATGGGAGTATCAGAGAAACTAGTTAAAGTATTAAACGGACTATAAGATCAATAAAAAATGTCAGTAAATAATCAGTGTAAAACTCGAAGACTGAGACCATGCAGGATAAGGCGTTGATTGAAACGATTCATTTTTATTACAACCACCGTCCAGAACATTACTGAAAAGAGCAGTGGATAAATGAAGTTTGGTTAATTAAATTATAGTGAATAAATAATTTTTTTGGTTTTACTTTCTGATAAACGGCCGAGCTTATGTTAATTAAAATGATATAATATGTACAAACAAAAGACTTATATGCCAAGAACAAATAAAAATATCATATGTTAAGTTTAAATAAAAACATTATGTCAAGTCAAGTGAAGAGATTTTAAAAGCTAATGTAGTTGATTAACAATAATATCCTAGGAACGCATCCAGACCAAGATCATTATGCATAATACATAAAAGACAGAGAGAACATCTACAAAAACAAATAAAATTAATTCCTGAAACCATATCTAAAATGGCGGTCTGGGAATTAAACAACCCACCTATCGACACATCCATTACAACTCTCGGAAAAATAAAGATAAAGCAATGAAATTATGTTTAACAACACTAAAAAAAACATGAAAATTTCATCCAAATTTACACAGATGGTTCAAAAATACGCAATTCAATATTATCAGCAGTCATTATTCAACAAGCTTGGATTAAGATTAAGGATTTTGATTAAGGATTAAGAAATTAAATAGATTTTCAAACCTGAGGCATATCCGCGAACATCGTAATCGTTCTCCGCAGTTATATTTTTTAATCGATCTTTTTCATAATTTGTTAACTTTTGCGCGAAGAACAGTGAAATATACACTTCTTTACGTATTATTGAATTTTCATTTTTCAGCCATTTAAAATCATTTTTTAAGTTGGAGACTGTTATTGACAAATTAGTTAATTGCACAGTTAAATCTCTCCACACGTCCAAAATTTCGCACTTGTTAACTTCATCGGCTTGATTTGAAATAAGATATTAATAAATGAGTTCAAAAATTTAAATTAAAATAATCTTCATAAAAGTAATTATAAATCAAATTATAAATCAAGACAATCACAACCTTTGATGTGAAACTTATTGACCAGTGAGCCATTTAAACTTTTAAAATATTGGATCTTGTTAATGTTTTCAATTACATTTTGGTAAGATGTTTTTAGATATGAATATTCATTGGTTATACTATTTAGCTGTCGTTTTATTAAAACCCATTCGGCTTTTAAATCTCCTATTGATTTCTTTATTACGTTGGTCACTTCCCAAAATGAACTCAGCCTCTCATCTGAATGTTTAAAAAATTAAATTCATAAAAAAAAATGAAATGATTTCCAATATTCACCAATTTCTTGATTGAATTTTGCAAAAAAAGATATTTCTTGGGTCTTCTTGGCGGTGAGCAGCGACTGCTTGATGTGGTTTATTTCATCTCTGTGCTCGCTGCTCTGGCGTCGAACATCCAGCAGAGATTGGTAGTTGGCGTTCAAACTTGTGTTTTGAAAATAAAACAGCAGCTGAAAAGAAATTGCTTTGCTATTATTTTTTGATTTTATTGAGATTACCAAACGGATTGTAAATGTGTTTAGTTTTGAAAATTTTCTCAAAGCATATTTTAAAATCAATGTACACATACTTAATAATACCATTGAACTATTTTAAAACTTATTAAAAATAGTACATTCCAAATAAATTTCTAGCAACGTTCTTTAATAACAAAAACATCGATATCATTAAGTAGATAGATGATCTTACCTCATTTTTTGATTTGGCAATTTCTTTTTCCAACATTAATTTGAAATTTTCTGCATGTTGCTCAATAATCTCCAGCCTGCGGTTAACGTCTTGATTTGGTTTCCAAACTTGAAATGTGTATGTACAATTATTTTTTTGATGATCAGCCATACACACAAGGCAATTGTTCAATGAAGCAACTACAATTAGACAAGTAAGTAAATTCCAACTCATAATGATTTGTAAAGACAATATTTATTGAGGACTAACAAATCTAATACATAAAGATTTACAATTGAGCACAGTGAATGGTTCTGTAGAATGAATCGTTTGCTGATCTGCCTGTCTTATAATGACTAAGACAAAGTAATTTGTTGCATGCATGTCATTCGATGTTGTTCGTTGTTTCAAGCATGTGCCCATCCGTAATTTAATTGTTTCAAGTTGACCAAGTTATTTGTACATATATTACACAATGTAGTAAAACTTTATATTTTTCCCAAGATTTTTTATTTTGTTAACTTTCGATAACATTTATTGTTACTTAAATTTTGTGAAACAATTACATTTGGGAAACGATTAAAGAGTTTCATAATGGAAAACTTTATGAACAAATTAAATTAAACTTAAACGCTTTGTATTATGATAATAAAATCAATGTTTTGAACTTAGAAGATGATTTGATGTGAATGCACGGAGACGATGATCGCTTGACGACCGATAAACAAGGGAACTGGTTAACCTCTTTAAAAATTAAAAATTAACTTCTTTCTGAAACACCAGCTACTGGAAAGGTTTAATTTAAATCAGCAACAGTTGTAGTCAAAAAAGTGTTGTGCAGAGATAAAAAAACAAAATGTCCATTAACGTCAGCAAACTCACAGTTCCTTAATTCTTATTGTTTTTCACTGACAAATTCTACAAAACTTTTCAGTCTCCAAGAATTTCACCCTTGTCAAATGATAATTGTCAACTGTATGATGTTGGCTTGTTATTATTCTTTTCCGTAGTCTAGTTACTGAAGATGAAATCAGAGAGATAATAATCAGCTCACCATCAAAAACAAACACCATCCCTATGCATATTATAAAAAACATTTGAATATTTTCATCTGTTTTTTTTCTTCTTACCAATCTCCGTCTACATTAGGTCTATTTTTTTCCTGTTTCAAGAATGCAATAATTTGTCCAACTTTGAAGAAGCTAGCTGTGATAGTAATGATGTTAAACATCAAATCCTCCTTCCTTTCAAAATTTATGAAGCGTGTTTTTATGAAGAGTCATTTAACAAATAGTCTATGGCTATTTTGTCAGGTGGCTCACAGGCGGTTTAATTCCACTGAAACGGCATTACAACACATCTTATCAAATTTGTTTGTAACAAATTTTCGAAATTATCGTTTTTAAACATGTCGCAGCGTTCACAATTATATTATTACAGATACTGCTCATGGATGGTTTGGATTGTATTAAAAAAATTGTACACAACAAATTTGATTCAAAAACTCAGTTTCTGATGTTGCATTTGTAATCCTGGGAGGAGTAACTCAGTTTTAA